GGGTGTGTCCTTGCATGGCTGCAGAGTGGATGGCTTCAGACTCTAACCCCTTCTATATAATCTTGTATGAGGGCTCTTCCCTCAAGACTCAGTCATCTCCCAGGGACCTGTCCCCTAATACCACTGCTTTGGAGATTGTGTGAACTGAATTCAGGGGTGGGGGGCTTGCACACATTCAGTTCATTACGTTAGGTATGCTAGTCCAGCCCCCAAGGTGAAGCAGTGAGACCATGGCTACGTAGGGGGAAACGAGGGCTTATTCTGCTTTCTGTGTGGTCAGTCATGGCATGAAAACGGAAGTGGTCAAAACCTGGCTTCTCGTGCTCACCACAGTGCAGAGGAAAGTCCTGGGTTTGGGGGGTCAGAAAGTCTCATGTGTGAAGCCTGGCCCCCACATTTACCAGCTAGATGCCTTGGGGCAAGAACTCCTCGACAATTTCCTCATCTTTAAAATTTCTTGCCTTCTTAGGATGATTAGGAGGAGGACTCCAATTATCTCAGCGTGTTTTGTGTTGCTATAACAATACATGTCAGGCTGGGTAATGGACAAAGCACAGAAGTTGATTTCTTACGGTTCTGGAGGCTGGGAAGTCCACCAGTCAAGGGGCCTGCCTCTGGCAAAGGCCTTTGTGCTGCCTCATCCCATGGCAGAAGGCAGAAGGGCAAGAAAATGAGTGTGAGAGGGAAAAGGAGAGAGTGAAAGAGGGAACAACCACTTGTGACCAGGGCCACCATCTCAGGGTAACCCCTTGAGGTCCCTCCCTGGATCTTTCTCTGTGTAACCTCCCTCACCTGAACCCACCCTCCCTGGGCATGCACCCCTCTACCCCACCCCATCCTTCAGGGCTGCTGCAAGAGTCCTTCTACATGTCCTGCCTGCACAGGGCCCTGCGTGTCCATCTCAGAGCCAGCAGAGTGCAGTGGTGAAGCAGGTGGAGTTGGGCTGCTGGGGTGCTGCGCCTAATTCTGTATGACCATGGGCAAGGGGCAGAATTGTCCTGTGCCTCCCTTTCCCCATCTGTAGGGTGGCGCTGACCACTGTGCTGCCCCCGTGGGCTTATATCAAAACAGTTAAGACCAATTCTCCATTGCTCATAGTTCCTATAAGTAATGATAATTATTAATCCTAATAATGAATAATGCTATGTATTAATAATTAAAGGGCTCAGTGCAATTTTAATACATAGTAAATATTCTATAAATTTGCACTTGCCTTTTCCCAACTTTTTTTGTGTGTGTACGTATCTTGTCTTTCCAATGAAATCAGAAAATGTGTCACCAAGGCCTCGTTTCTCAGCTGGAAATTACAACTGATTCATGAGCAGCCTGAATTCACCCCCTCACACACACACACACTCCACACTGGTCTTCTCCCTTACAATCTGAGGGCTCTTCCCAAAACCTAAAGTTAGCAGTTTCCCCTTCACAGTCTCTACTGGCTACAGCCTGGATCGGAACGTGGGACTCCTGGGTGCAGGGCATCAGCCTGGCCCAGTGCTCGGCCACCTCCCTCACCCCTGCCCCTGCCCGGGTGCTCCAGCTTCAGCATGTGGCCTCTCCCAACATGTGGCCTCCTCGCAGGCCTCTCTTCTGCCTTGTCTCCCCAGAAACCACATGCCCACTCCAGCGCTGCCAGAGAGTCTTGCTTTTCCCTCCCTCTTGCTTCTCTCACACCTCTCCCCAGCAGACCATGAGCATGCCATAGGCAGCCCCCAGGGTCCTCTGGACACCTCCAAGTCCAGCACACTGTGGGTGCAAAAATGGTCAGAGCCAGTGTCCATTGAGCACCTACCCTGTGCTGGGCTTAATGTCTATTAACTCACTCAGAGCCCGAGCTGAAGGCAGAGACCACCCGATTTCATCATTAACATGGCAGCTAAACCTCCATAAAACAAAAATAGTACATTTCAGGGAAGTACCACCCCTAGAGCTGAAGGAGCGGAGGGAACAGGTGGGATTATTAATGCCTGCGCCTCCAGGGTGGGGTCCCCAGCCAGGCTGGAGGCTCTGGGCAAAGAAGGGAGGCGACCAGGCATGTCCTGAGTGTCACAAAAGCTGCCAGGGGGATTTCCCTGCTGTTTGAGGGAGGGCGTGTTGCTGCCAGGGAGAAGACAGGGCACCAGGGAAGGCACCCGGGAACAAGAAGCCAGGGGAGGAGCAGTGCTCCCCTCCCCCGCCTCCGTCTCCCTCTGTGGCCCTGTGGGAAGCGCCACACCGATTTAGGGTTTGCAGAACCCCGACCTCTGCAGCACAAAGCAGGTGTGGGGCCAAGAGAGGGTATGTAATAACTGGTCCAGGCTGGACCCATGAGGATTCCCGTTTCACAGATGAGGAAACCGAGATATTGGGCGATTCAGTCATCTATGCAAGACTAAGTGACCACCTGGACTGGCCAGGGTTTGAGCCAGGTGCCCTGCCCTTAGCCACTGATCTGTCGATGCTGGATGAATGAATGAATGAATGAATGAATGAATGAATGGCAGTCCCGGGGGTCCTGCGAGGGCCAGGTCCGGGAGGGCCAGGTCCGGGCCCCCTGCAGGTGCAAGGTCCCTCGCCTCCTGACTGCCCCCTTGTCGCCTGCCAGGTCATCCACTGGAACTCCCCCAAGAAGCTGCGGGTGAAGAACAAGCACGTGGAGTTCTTCCGCAACCTCTACCTGACCTTCCTGGAGTACGACGGCAACCTGCTGCGGCGGGAGCTGTTCGGCTGCCCCAGCGAGGCCGACGTCAACAGCAAGAATGTAAGTGGCTGTGCCTGCGCAGGGACAGGGTCGGCCCTGCTCCTCCAGGTACAGGTGCCAGGCTCCAGGTCTGCCTTGGACCTGACGCCTCGCCTGCCCTGGGAGTCCACTCTTGGGTGCAAGGACACGTCATGGATCCCTTTCATGCTGTTCCTTGAGGGTCCCAGAGGGGACAGTCGTCCCAGCTGGGTGGGTCAGAAGACCACCTGTGAAACGGCAGGTGAATTGTCTCGTGGCCAGGAAGCCCCCTTTGTCTTTGAGGACGTGGCATCTACCTGGGAGATCCGGGATCCAGGTCAGGGCAGTGCGTGGGGGGTGGGCACAGAAGGAGATTTCCACAGGTGTGACTTCATCAGGTAAGGACAGAGTTAGGTGAGTAGTCAGAGGCACAGCTGACATCTGTCTCATTCTCCTGTCTCTTTGCTGTTTATAATTTTATCGTATGCTCTATCTCATTTGATGCTCGAAGAAACCCTGTTTTACATTTGAAGCGATAGTGATGCAGAGAGGCTAAGCAGATTGTCCACAGGCACACAGCAAACTAGGAGCAAAGTTGAGGCTGACCCTCAGCTCTAAGGATATGGGGAAGCAGCACCTAGCAGACCTGGATTTATTTCTGGCCCCTTCCAAGTAGCACCTGTGTGACCTCTCTGTGCCTCAGTTTCTTCAACTGTCAGATGGAAATCCCAGCAGCTTGGGAGGCTGAGGCAGGAGGATCAGCACTTCGAAGTCAGCCTGCAACTTAGTGAGGCGCTAAGCAACTCAGTGATACTCTGTCACTAAATAAAATACAAAAAGGGCTGGGGATGTGACTCAATGGTTGAGGGGCCCCCGAGTTCAATTTCCCGTGCAAAAAAACATCAAGAAACTGAGCGTGAACAGCTAGCAGCTAGCTCAGGCTGCCATGTTAGATGCTCAGTAAATACCTGCTCCCGGCTCTTCTTGACCTTAGCATCAGACCCAGAAGTGATTGGTTCACTCAGTCCACACTCATCATTGGTCTAAGCACTGAGTGTTCATAGGTGGAGCGGGACAGTGGTCCCTGCTCCCATGTAACTCAAATCCTAGTGGAAGAGAAGATTAATAAGGAACCATCAGGAAAAATTGACGGCTAGTGGTGGGTGCTACCTAGGTATAGGCTAGTGAGGAGCTGGGCAGCTGTGTTGGTTGGGGGTCCAGGGAAGGTTTCTATGAGGAGGTGGTGTTTCATCTGAAATCTGAATGACAAGAAAGAGCTAGTCATGGCAGAGCCAAGGAAGTGCTCTGCAGGTGGAAGAAGTAGTGATGCAAAGGCCCTGAGGCAGGGCAGGCATAAGGAGCAGAAGGATGGCCAGTGTGCCGGGGACTTGTGGGGAAGAAGAGGATCAGGCGGGCAGGGCCATGCTGGAAGGATTTGTAAACTAGAGTAAAGAAGGAGAATTTTGATTTTTCACCATGATTGTCATCGTTTCTATGGTTGTTTTGGATGCTCTGAGAGTTCTTTTAGCTTCCAGTGGTGGGGGAGGGTGACTAGAAGGTGCAGAGGCCTGTCTCACCTGGCTTTTTATCAGCACTGGTCACAGTGCTGCCCTTGCCCTTGGCCTCCAAGTCATGGTGAGGTCACAGCCAGCCCTGGCCCTTCTTCCCTTCACCCTGGAAGCCTCCTCCTGATGGCGGAGGGAAAGCCATTAAGTGCTTAAGCACTTAGAGGTTCAGAGAAGCCCTCGGAGCTTTGACCCGCGCTGGGTTCCTGGGGTTTTCTGCCAGTTCTCTACTCACATTGGTCTCGGCCATCCTCATCGATATTTGAGTGTCCTCTTGACACTTCTCTGAATGCTGAATGAACACACTTCTCTTACGTTTCTCCCCTCCATGGTGGAGGCCGAGGTAAAAGCCTTGCAGAAGGCAGCCCCCGTCCATCACCCATGTCGGTGGCTTCCTGGAGCATGCTGCTGCGTCCTCGGAAGCAGAAGCCCCCTCTGCAAGTGACTCACCAGCTTTTCCTGCCGTCTCCTTCCCTGGGTGGATCACCAGGGTGAAGGCGAACCTGGTCTTTCCTGGAATCTGTGACAGCCTTTATTTGCCCATAAGCCTGTGTGGATGCCGGTCACCCTCCCAGCACCATGCAGGGCACTGGGCTTGACCTTGGAAACGGACCTGCCCCTGTGTGTAAGGTGCCATTTAACACCCCTTAGAGAAGCTGAGAGGAGAGTCTGTCCGGGCCTGAGGAGGGCCTTGGACAGCAGTGCAGCCTTCCCTAAGCCCTCACCATGGATGTCATCCTAGCCTGTCCCCCTTGACTCCCACACAGGAGTGACGGCCAGCTGTCGGCAGCCAGGCTCAGGCTGGGCCACGTACTGCCAGTCCCACTGCCCCTGGTTGCTCACGTGTCCCCGTGTACATCAGCAGAAACTTCCTCTGACCCTCCTAAAGTCACCCTGTCCGTCACTTTGTGTCACCTACCTTATTTTCTTTCCATCATAGCACACACTTCTCTCGGCAGTTTCCTAGGTTTTTTTCCCTAAATAAAACCAACATACCAGCCTCCTAGATGGGGAACTGTACTGTTCTCCTTTCAGGTCCCCTCCCCTAGGGTAGAACTAAGTGTATGATAAATATTTACCGAATGAACATAGTGAGCAAATTTTAAAAAGAAGTCCTGGGTGAAGGAAAGAGCAGATAAAGGAGTAAAGAACCAGAGAAAGAGCACGTCAGTGTGTCCAGGAGCGCAGGCCTGTCGGGGAGCATGGGGCGCAGTGTGGCTCCCTCCTGTGGGCAGTGAGGTCGGTGACCAGGTTTTAGGCAGGGTGGATTTACACTGGAGCAACATCAGGGCAGAGAACAGAATGAAAGCAACAAGACTGAGGCAGGAAAACCACGCCACACCGAGGCCTCGCCCCAGCCCAGGGGCTGAGATGACAGCGGGGTCTGCCCTTGGGCGGCAGAGGCGAGTGGAGGCAGCAGATGGGTTCTAAGCCCAGGGAGCAGGTGCTCATAAATCAAAGACAGTGGGCCCCTGCGCCCGGGTCCAGGCAGATGTCTCCACTGGCTAAATCGACTCTGGGCAAGAGAGGTCTGGAGACACTGCGCTCCCGGAGCCCCAGGCAGGTTGGGGCTCTGCAGCATGTTGAGCACAGTCTGCAAACACAGGGAAGGAGGACGATCTTGGATAGGGCTCAAAGCCGGATGCATCCGACTCTGGGAAGAGGGCATTAGAGCGCAGATGGTGGTGAGGCTGGAAGAGACAAAGGCAGGGAGCTCTTCACCCGACTTCGGGTTCCAGATGGAAGCAAGACCCCACGGCAGAGTGTCCAGGTCTCTGGATTCATTCATCCGCTCCGCAGATGCTCATTCAAACCGGCCCCAGCCTCGGGTGGGAAGCCTTGCAAACTGAAGTCCAGCTGAGCAGTGCACACAGGCAAGGGGTGGCCATGCGAGGGGACAAGGGCCAGCATGGTGGCTGCACTCTGAAAGTGCGTGAGAAGGCATTTCACTGACAGGAGAGAGAGGTGCACCAGGGTGCACCTCCTCTTCCTGGAGGAGGCCAGATTTGGAGGATGAGCGTGTGGCATGAGGCCTCTGGAGGGTGGGCTGGGGGAGGAGGGGCAGCATGTGCAGCGGAGACCAGAGGTGAACGTAAGCGTGGCGCATTTAAGGACGCTCAAGGGGCTCAGATCCCAATGAAGACGATGTGAGGACCGTGAAGGGTGTCACAGATCATTGTTGTTCCTTCGGTGGGGAGGTGATGGGGACGACAGTCAGGCGTGAGCGTCCTGGTGACATGCTCCCCTGTGCCATAGACAGATGACCTCAGAGAACTCAAACATATGCTCTGAGCCTCAGGTTTACCACCTGATAAATGGGCACAGTGATGTCTTTGTCGTGGTGTCTCATGGGCCATCTCTGTGAAATCATCCACTAAGGAGGACGTAATCCAGGGACTACCTCCTCAATGAGAAGCTGAGATGTGAGGAGCAGAGCCCATGGCAAAGCCTCTGATTGGGCTGCGTCTTCTAGGACAGGACAGTATGGCTTAGAAGCAAACTGCCTCCACCAGTGGTGGAGAATGACCAGGAGTGGCTGCTGAGACCCAGCCACTCCTGTCCATCCCTGGTCTGGGTGTCTCTCCCTGGAACCCGTGAGTTGGCTTATGTAAGGTGGTAGGCACTCGGGGTGCATCCGCGACTGTGAGTTGACTGAAGAGGGGATGGAGGTAGGATTCCATGCCTTGGCATTTCTCTCCCTGACCCTCAGTGGTCCCATCCTTCAAGCAATCCAAGAAACCCTGGGACTCCACAGCACACAGCTGGGTAGCCGTGGATCTTCTGCATCCCTTCCCCATTCAATATTCCATCCATAGCATCCTACCCAGCTCATACCTGGGCTCTGCTGGAATCCTCCTGCGCACAGGGAGCACGCCTCCTCCTGAGCCAACTCTGCTGCAGCTCATGAGACCGGGACACTAAACCCCACCCTACCTGGTGCTGACTTGAAGTCTTCCCCTGAGTCTAAGAGACTCGTTAACCTGAGGCCTGTCTTCTGGAGCAGTAACAAACAGGGACACCCACTCTTGTCCCTGATGGCCCATCCTGGCACTGGTGGACAGAGTTCTGGAGGACTGTGATTCTGAAACACGCAGATCCCCTAAGCCTCCATTTGCAGGGTGATGCTATATCACCAAGGGGCCCTTGCACCACCCAAGGAAGTTTCCAGATAAGGGAAGCTGACCTTGCTAAGCCACACCCATTAAGATGGACAGGTTTTAACACATCTGGGTGGGAGTCCTGTTCAAGTCTGGCCCTTCCCTGAGTAATGACATGAAGCTTAGGTGGGCATTTTTGATGACCAGGGTTACAATGGGTAAAGCCAGAGGAGCCAACGGTTGGCCAGAGGAGGGAGGATGCTATTTATGCTGGCAGGAAATGGCCAGGGACCACTTGCTGCTTGTTCTGCAGATTCCTTTCTGACAGCTGTCACTTTCAGTTTATCATCTCCAGGAACAGCCCTCTGCGGGCTCACTT